TTTTTTTTAATTACGGGGAACCCCTATAGAAGCCACATCCGTGCCCAAGCCTCCAACAAGGGAACATGCGGAAGCTGCACCCACCAGCAGGTGCGATACCTGCTACAGCAGGTGGGCGATACCAGCCAGGGGTCAGCTGGTAGCATCAGGACCAAGCCTATTGGTTGGGCCAATCACTGTGTCTCCCCTCCGGTCCCCTCCCCCTATGAACATCAGCAGTCTCTGCTCAATGTCACTCGGGGGGGCCAACGACATATCTCTATAAGTAGCGGGCACCAAGCTTGCCCAGGAAGGTACATGAGGCCAATGGGGATTGAACCAAGAACCTCCTGAATGCTACTTGCGTGCCTTACCAACTGAGCTGGGACGCTGGATCAGATCCAAGTTCAATCCCAGTTGGGATCAAAAAAAGACTCGAACCAGTTCTCGCTTTGTGCGTGTCATCCTTGCACAGGGGTCATACTAGCTCCGCGCGGCTGATCTCAGCCGCAAGATCTCATGATGGATCGGCCGAGATCGGCCTCGCTCGGATGCCTTATGAAAAGGCCGCAACATCGATTTGCCGGCCCCCTCTGGCTCGAAGTCAACCCCCACGTCCCAGGAAAAAATAAAACTCCCTTTTTCCCCTGCGCCACGGCCCTATTCTAGGTAGACTAGGTCTAGCTTTAGTCTTTCCATTTTCGGGCACCACCGCGGCCTTGCTGAAAACCACGGACAACAGTACCGACTCCCGTAACCCGCACGGACGTCGATGTCATCCTATGTCGACGACGTCAGGTTCAGAAAAAGCTTAAGTCTCCCAGTCATAGGGCAGGTCTGAATAAACTTTGGCAACGTCAATCTCATCAAGTCGTCCAATTTAGTGGAAAGGTCAGACAGCGTCCGACGTTGAAAAACACGGCCAGATACCCTTTGTCAGGGTTTCTGCCCCGACAACATTCCTTGGCCCCATTGAACGACTTCCACGTCATTCACGTGGTCGGTGCTCTCAGTATAACATTTTACGGATACCACTTTTAGTATCTTTTACTCTTTAATAATACCACAAATACTTTAACGAGCAGATATCCGAAAAACGGACTCCTTACTATTGAACGAGTTATGCACTCAAAGCCAAAATTCACAATTATTCTGCACTCATCGGATTGGTACCAGATTCAGCCCCTGGAAGTCCAAAATTGGAAACTCAGGACCAGATTCAGCCCCTGGAAGCCCAAAATTCAAAGGACCTTATTCTAATGGTTCTGGTTAACAAAATCCGTTCGGTTGGAAAACATTATTTTAATCATCTGGGCAAGCAACCATCACCGCCCGGAATTTAACCCGGGTCTCTCATGTCCATGGGGATGCATCCACAACACCTCAACACACTCACGTGTCGCTAGGAGTTTAACCTGAACCTCCCACGTAACACAAGGATTAACGTACTATACTACAGTCACGGTTGTCGGGAACGATAATAGCAAGGCTCCGACTTTCCACCATCCCTTCTGGAAGTCTCGTATTAACCTTCAGCTAGTTCCCAGAATGAGCCAGGAATAACCCCTGACAGGCCTCCATAACCCAACCTATGATAATCGTTCAGACATGATCTGAACYAGCMATCCARTACAAGAACCTYTTATTYAAGTCCTTTAYCTGRGTTYCATAACCCATCCGATTGTGYAACTTTACAAATACCTAGGATTATTATGTTTRATATCCCCGAATTCCATGTGGCTGCGTCGAGGAGTGGTGTAATCCTCCACAAAGGATAACATCGCGACATCAAGCCCCGCTTTAGATTCGAGCCTCACCACATTCCCTCCGATTCCAGTATCGCAACTCTGTTAATGTCACGCCTACAGGGCGAGACAACCCCATCCATATAATCCAAGTTGGTCAGACGAGGATCATAAGGACGAGGCGACCCTGCGTATCACAAGGATAGATGACCAACCCCATCCCTGTGATAAGCAGCGATCGCTCCCCGCCATAGGCGAGGTCTCAACAGGATTATTACACCATCCTCCTTTTCGGTGATAGTGTAGCCATCGCCCTCTTTCCAAGGAAAATGACATCATCTCGTTGTGGACCAGGAACCAAGTTCCGGCACGAGCCTCACTATCACCTACAAGGCTCACGTCTTTCAGGAATATCAAGACACAATAAAGACTAGGTATTACATATAAAAATTATATTCATTAGACCATGTGCCTATAGAACGAATACTTATCGTTCAGGAAGTCACATGTTCCAAAATTTTATACACATTTTACACATTAAGTCATGACTTTGCACAAATGATTCAAATCACTCCCTCACAAGCAAAACTCATTCCACATAAGAAATAAAAGAGATGTATGCTCAGAGAATCATCTTTACAAGGCTTGAAAAAATTATTATGCACATTAATTATCTTGCTCGAGAACGAAAAATAATGACGAAAATGACATCAATAAGTAATTCATTACAAGTCCATATGTGTCTGTCCATTGCATGGAAAATATCTCTTACAAATACTTAATCATAAAATCAAGTTAGCTAGTGGTATCAATGTCTGATAAGAAAAGTAAGGCATTATCTTAGTCCCTATGAACAAACTTCTTCAAGCGTGAGCCTGAAACCCAATCTCACCCACGTGCTCCATCCATCTCCTCAATCTCGTATGCTCCGTGCTCTGTTTTCTTAATGATACGATACGACTTCATCCATCGATTATCTAATTTCCTCGACCACTGCTTTTCAAGAGAAGAGTCATAGAGGAGGACAATATCCCCCACTTTCAACGGTTCCTTCCTAACCCGGGGTTGCTTATCCCATCTAACTTTGTCCGCCTGTCTGCTGTCCGCAGTTGACGTCGTGGCCTTTACAACTCTTTCCTCAGTAACTTTTATCTGTCTGGCTCTCAGGTCCAACAATTCTTCTGTAGAAAGCATGACTTTCATATCCTGTTTTTGCCATGTGGTCAGGAAACTCTCGATCGGAAACGTAGCATGTCGTCCAAACCATAACGTGACAGGAGCATACCAAGTAGTCCGTTTTACGGTTATATTTTCAACAAATATGGCATCTCTGAGATAGACGAGCCATGTTGATGGCTTGCCAGCATTCCATTTAGCTAGCAAATTGGTCAAGGTGGCATGCCCACGTTCGACCGGATCATTAGCCTGGGGGTGTGCTCTAGTGGTATAACTATAGTTCACTCCCAGTCTCCTCAGCAGAGCCTGAACTTCTTCCGCCCAAAATTCACCGCCTCGATCCATCACAAATTCTCGAACAAATGGATACCAAAGGTAAAACTCTTCGATACACTCCGCCAAAATCTTTCAGGTTCGCTCACGGATTGCACGCCCATCAACAAACCCGGTAAGATTGTCTCTCGCATCAAATATGTACCTGTACCCATTAAGTCCGGGTAGCATAACGACCAGGTCGAGGTGCACAACCGCACCTGGCTCAATCACATATCGTGGATTAAGTGGCTCAGCATAGCGGAGATTCGAACGTTTCTCACAGGGAACGCACGAGTTGCAGAACTCTGTCACCATCTTACCCATACCATCCCAAAAATAGAGATGTTGGATTTTTTTCAATATCACTCGTGCAGATCGATGTCCACCTGCCACTCCATCATGTAGAGCCGCAATCACATCCAATTGTCTGGGAACTCCGCACACCACTCTCTTAGGCATACCATCGTCAGACTTTTTGAAAAGATGTCCCTGTCGAATGATAAAATCCTTTGCTTTCTCTCTTATTTCTGGCTCTATCTCTGCCTCATTCAAGTCCCCATTCAACCAAAGCCCAATCTTCTTATAAATTTCATCATATTCCTCCTCACGAAAGGATTATTTGATCTAACTGCCTTCCCCTTCTTCCAACATTAGCTTACCGTGATCTTCCTGTATCAACGAATTAACAAGAAACACCATTCCTCCAGAAATCTTGAGGATTTCGTCGCCTTGCTCATGCCCCCCTTCAATCGTAAGAGGTTCTTCCGAAAGTTGTGCTGGGTCAGACAACGCCAACCGCATCATCCGCTCAGCAGACCGTTCACCCCAAGGATCCTCCTCAAAAAAGGGTTCCCTCATCACAAGCTCTGCACACTTTTGATAAGAACTCGGCGAACTCCAGATAGACTTCCCAGGTCGGGATGACGCATTACTGATGTATTCCCAAACATTGATACTCAATTGTTGCTCGTCCGTCTCCAGAAACCCATCCAAAGGGACCGAGTCTTCTGCCTGATCTTTCGAGGAGTCCCACTCGATCCGACTCAATCCGTCGGCTTGATTTTGTGTTCCCGCAATACGCTTGATCTCGAAATCGAACATCCAGATATAGATCAACCATCGAGCAATAGTTGGATCCGAGGGAGAATAATTCTTCAATGACTGCGCCAGGGCGGTCGGATCAACCCGCAGGACGAACCGTCTTCCAAACACGTAGTTTCGGAAGATCCTGAAGCAATGAAGCACTGCAAGGGTTTCCTTCTTAAATTGAGAATACTTCCTTTCTGCCTCATTCAACGTTCGACTTTCAAATCTCAGTGGTCTTTCTCGTCTTTCTCCATCCTTCTGGATGAGGACTCCACCCAACGCTGTGGGGCCTGCATCCGTTTCAACCACAAAGGGTTGGTTCGGGTCATTGTCAAAGCACAGAACCCCTAGGATCAATCCTCCTTCTCGGGATTGTGCCTTCATGTGGTCAACAGCCGCCTGCTGCTTTGGACCCCGTTCCCATTCCTGATTTTTACGCACTAACTTCCGTAAGTGCTCCACCCTTGCGACGAACTTGCGAATGAAGATACGTTAGAATCCGCAAGTCCCCAAGAAACTGCGCACATCCGTGATGGACTTAAGCGGAGTCGACCATTCCAGAATCTTGTATGTTTTCTTGGAATCTGGCCGACGACCCTTCTCATCGCACAAGAAGCCCAAGATAGTCGCCTCACGCATACAATGCCGAGATTTGATACCGCTGGCGGTGAGGTTGTACTCCTTTAACTTGGACAGGACCTTCTCCATGCCACGAACGTGCTCCCAAACAAACTTTCGGACGCCTGGCAGCACCTCCGTTTCGTCCTTGACACGTAGCCAAGGAATGGCCAAGTCATCTATATACAGTGAGGTCACGTCCGAACAAAGCGGTTGCATGACCCTCATCATATATCTCTGAACAATCGCCACGACGTTCGTCCATCCCTGAGGCGCCGCACACATATGAATCAATCCCTTCGGCGTATGCATGGCCGTCATCGGCCTGTCTGCCGTATAGAGAGGGAATTGATCATATCCCGAGCACAAATCAATGAGAGTGATGATAGGTCTGCCTGCGCACGACTCAGTCAGCTGATCGGTATGCGGAAGTCCTCCGGCATCACAAACCGTCACTGAGTTCAGCCTCTGTAGATTCTGCACCCATCGCAATACGCCACTTGGCTTGATGAAACAAAACCAAAGGGACGCATATGGTCCATACGAGTAATCCGCGACCTTTGTCCGGATTTTACTGTCCAAATATTCAACGACTCTACGGTGATCATCCGGTTTCGGATAACGTGGGCCTCGTATGTTCCATGGCTCGTGAGGTACCGTATGAATCATGATCATTGGAATCAGGTCAACGTCAAGCCTCCCTCGCTCATCATCATCGAAGGCATAAGCCAGATGTGTTTTCTTCATGACGCTGACAAGGAAGTCCACCTCCTTCTCAGTAAGAGACCCTTCCTCTCCAATGATCATATTCTTAATCCTCTCCTCCGTCAATCGACATGGCGCCTTCATACTCTTTTCCTTCCTCATCCTGATCCATTCTCTTTCTTCTTTATAATACACTTTTTCCTCTTGTATGATCAAGACGGGCACTGGCCGAGCTTTCTTGCCTACTCTCTTGTACTTACGTTTTGGTCCAACTCCAAGTCGTCCACCTCTAAAAAAGGCCCTTGCTTGGCTGCTGGCTCCGTCAATACATCACCTTCTGAAGGCCTGTCGGGCCGATAAGTAAGATACATTCTACCTGTCCCGCCTTCTCCTGCCACAATCTCTGTCAGCGTTTGGACCAACTAGGGGTCCACGGACGAGTCTGTCGCAACGAACTCGATCGCTTGAGAGATGTTGGGCAGAGGAAGAGAGAATTTTTAAGGATCGCTCTCTTCTCCGAGGGATTTCTTCTCCCTCCTGAGCCTTTCAGACTCCGTGAAGGAATAGGACCCCGGACTGAGTCGGTTCCTTGAATTGGTTGGTCCCGTGTTCTCACACTTCATCACCTCGTAATAGCCGCATACGGGGTCACACAAAACCACGATCATAGTACCATCATGCTTGTTAAAGATGATGGATTCCGATCGACATAGAAAAACTCTGCCCAGCAACACGGCATGCTCCACCCTGGGTAGCACATAGAAGTACGAACGGACTTTGACTCTACCAACTTGTATCGTCACGTCACTCGCCGTTCCGCAAAAGGGAGTTATCCCACTTGAACCTACCAGAAATCCAGTATCTGCTCGATTGATGTTTACTCCTTCCCCCATGGCTTCTCTTTCACGTATGATGTTCATTTCAGCCCCATCGTCGATGAAAGCCGAGTATTCGCACGGCCCAACTTGCACCTTCAACGACCCAGTCGCTACACAGTGTCAGTCCATTTTTGTCCCAGGCGGAGCCCAACTAATCTTAACCGTCATAACCTTTTTCCTTGACAGTCGGTGTCTGAACTCCTCTCGGATTTTCGGCGACGCGGCCAAGAATTCTTTGAGCATGAACAAATCGCGTTGGCTCTCCAGAATCCGGTCCACGATTTGCTCGATATCCAGCCCTTGCTCCACCGGGATCGTGTAAACTTGCTTCTTCTTTTTCAACTCTCCTTCCCCAACATCGGGCTTGCCCGTTTTTGGCTTCCTCTCCATGGCCCGTTGTTTGGCCTGCCGCTTATCCTCGGCTCACAACAACTCGTCCTCCTCGCCATCGTCTTCTTCAATCGGAATAGTCTCGGTTTCCCGATGCTGAATGGACCCTTCTTCTGGTGTTGCCCTTGGCCGCGGCGGCCTTCGAACCCTCCAAGTCTGCGACAGGCCAGCAGTGGCAGGTCGCTTGAAAGCAGGACGGGACAAGACCGTGGTTGCCATCAAACGCCCTGCCGATGGCGATCCAGGTTGTGGTGCGCTAACATCATTAAGACCTCCTTGGCCGTCTCTGTCCCATCCTCCAAACAGAAAAACTTGGGGAAGCCCGGACCATTCTTCATTCATGTCGGCGCATATTTGAACAAAAGTTTCCTGACATCGGTTCATCTTCTTGACCACCAACTGGGCTCGATGCAGTATTTCTTCCTGTTCCTCGCTCAAACCTTCATCCCCGGTCTTGGCATCTTCAATCGTCAATGATTCCATCGCCGCTTCCAACTCAATATGTTCGACTTCTTCCGAGGAAACCAGTCGGAAAGTTGCTGGAAGATCTCGCCCTATACGTAAAAAAACCTCCTTTCGCATTCCTCCCTTTACATTGAGATCGATGAGGTTCCCTTCGAAGTCGTAGACCTCACCTCGGATATTCGTATATATAACCTTATCGTTTTCATCTTTGGTAACGGTCTGACAAAACCGTATCCCATGCCCATCTAGGCCACAATACTTGCAAAATCAATTCTGCCAATTGCCTCGGCCGCCCCCATTTCCTCGGCCTCCCCAAATGCCTTGTCCTCTACCTCGACCTCGGCCTCGGCCTCCTGCCTGAGGTTGGGGTTGCTGAGGAGGGGTCTGCGCCGCCTGTTCCTGGTTGCTTCCTTGTCCACCTCCTCCATTATTGTTTCGTTGCTTTTTGCTAGTGCCTTGCCCTCCTCGTATTTGATTCAGGGCCTTCCGTTCTGCCTTGGTCAATTTTCGAGCGGGCTCCACTTCCTCCTCATCTTCCTCTTCGCTGCTGCTACTACTCACTTCCTCCACGATGGGAGTTTTTCCCTTCCTTTTTCCACCTTTTGTTTGGACCATCATCACTTGCAACTTCAACCTTTCCTTCTTCATGTCAGCCATCATGTTCCGCATATCAGTCAGGGTTTTGTAAACGACCTGATCCTTGTCCGCGCTTACCCCTTCCTTTTCGCGGTCCTCCTTTTGCTGCTTCAGGAGACGGTAAAGCATCTGGTCGAAGCTTCCAGCCAACAGATTCTCCTTGATCTTTGGCCAGTCATATCGCCCAATCATATCCTTCATCAGTTCCCACTGCTCAACTTCGGAAAAGTTTTCGAGGAAGATAAGGCACCGATCCTTATCTGGAAGATCAGGCACCAGACGCGCAACTCGTTCGAACTCCGTGAGAAACTGCTTGGCCGTACCAAATTTTCGACGACTGACTTTCCGTAAGTCCGCCAGATCGAGCAGTTGATCCCCCAATTGGTACTTGTCCAATAATTTGGCTTTGAAGTCGGGCCAGTCACGCGAGGCTAGCACCAACTCTGACACCTCCTTTTTGTACCCGACCATACAATATCGCTTCAATATTTGAAGCATCTTCTCACTCGTCCATTCACAACAACTACCCAATTGCTCAAACTTGTCCGCCCATGCTGAGGCATTGGTGCCATCGAAGAGGGGAACTTGAACCTTTGGCAGTTGCACCTTCTGATTATCGGCCTCACGAATGGCTCGTGCAAGTTTCAGGATGTCATTGCGACGATCCCATGCATTACTATTTGCGGGATCAGCACTTCCTCCCGTCATCTTGGGTGAATCAACACAACAAAAACCCACATGTTCAAGTGTCAAACGGGCTCAATAACTTTGCCTTCCTTTCCTTCTCCAAACATTAACAACCACTGACTACTTTCAATCCAAACAAACAACACACAACACTTAAAATCACTATAATCAATATTTTCCCGAGTGTCGTTTCACCAGGGACAACGTTAATTCGCCGTCATCCCCGGCAACGGCGCCACCTGTCGAGCGCATCAGCCCCAGCGGGAGCGAGGGCCCTCCCGGCTATGTCACACAGGAGTTATAACAAAACAAAATTAAGAGACAACTTAGGACGATGCATAAATAATCCCGCGAACCGCCGAGACGGACGCGATTGCATAGTCCCTTCGCCGCTCTGGCCGGGTGCGCCAGCTGTACATCCCACGGTCCCCTACGACAGGATAGGTTATC